CTGAAATATATGAAAGTTTCATTTTTATCATTACATTATGGAAAATAATGACCTTTATCACAATATGCGATTTTTTTTAGAAGGACCTGTAGTAACCAACAGCAGCGATGAAGGTTCGTTTCAAGCTGTGGTTTCAAGCTGATTTTTATGCTTTTGGCCACAAGATGTCACCAAAGAACACTTCAAGTAAGCTTTGAGATATGAACCCATTTTCAAAACAAGCTTCATTTGTCCATCACTTGTTAATATTCTGGGAGTGTGTAAGGGCAGGAAGACTCACCTGCGCAGAGTCTTGTTACAAGCCAACAACTTCCCCAGAACCTCCGCTCCCACTGATCTGAGGTTGTTTCCCTGTGAACAGTAACGTTGGTAAACTGACAGACATCTTAAGGAAATAAACCTTTTTGTTTCTCTGTGTTTAGTGCGTACAAAAAAAAGTTAAATTTTAAAGAAGGTACCTTTAGGTCCAGAACTTTTACAGTTGTGTTATCAAACAGTCCAGTCAGGAGGATTTTAGCACCTAAAATCCACATGAAAACACAGGAGCAGACATCGCTGAGACATATTTAACATGATACACGTTAAAAGCACTTTACTGTTGGAGGTGAGTTTTTTTTTCTTTTATAATCTAAACAAAAAAACAGCCTATGGAAACACACATTTCCAATCCTGGTTCGAGGGCACTTTCCTGCATATATGACTTGTTTCTCAGTTCAGTTCAGGTTCAGTGGTTGAATTACCGCTTTATCTTCTACAGAAAACTGTTGATCACCCATTGATTTACATCAGGTGTGCTGGAGCAAAAAAGCATCTAAAACAATCAGGGTAGTGTCCCTTGAGGACCGGGATTGGACCCCCTTGCTGCATGTAAGGGTTAGAGATTCATGAGTCTAACAGCCTCAGGGTAGAAGCTGTTCCTCAGTCTAGTGGTTCTACACTTAATGCTCCTCAACCTCCTTCCTGAGGGGAGTGGGGCAAAAAGTGTGTGTGCTGGGTGAGTGTGGTCCTTCATGATGCAGGTGGCCCTCTTCCTGCATATAGAGGTGTAGATGTCTGTGATGGTGGGGAGAGTGACTCCAACATATTCTGTGCAGCCTTCACCACTCTCTGCAAAGCTTTTCTTTCTGCAGCTGTGCAGCCTCCATGCCACACGTTGATGCTGGAGCACAGGATGCTCTCCACTGCACACCTGTAGAAGGAGGTGAGGACTGAGCTTCCAGACCAGCTCGTCTCAGACGCCTGAGGACGTAGTCTCTGATGAGCTTTCTTGATCAGGCTGGTGGTGTTGTTGCCCCAGCTGAGGTTGTTGTTCATGTGTACACAGAAGTACTTGTAGCTGGAGACCACTTCCATCGCAGATTGTTCTATGTTTGGGATGGTGGTAGTGGGGTAGATATGTTTGTTCCATCTGAAATCCACGACCATCTCCTTAGTCTTCTTCACATTGATGTGAAGGTTGTTCTTCCTGCACCAGCTCTCCAGGTGTTCCACCTCCTGCCTGTAGCTGGACTCATCATTGTTTGTGATGCATCCCACCACCACTGTATCATCTGCAAACTTTACAATGTGACAGCCTGGATGGGTTGGTACGCAGTCATACGTGAGCAGAATGAACAGGAGGGGGCTCAACACACAGCCCTGAGGGGAGCCAGTGCTGAGGGTTATGGTGGAGGAGAAGTACATTTTTCTTTCCACTGTTGTCTTTTTGCTTGCTCAGGATGGGAGACTGCAACAAAGTCAAGACACAATCTGCTGGCTTCCTTAGATAGACAATTTTCACTACCGTATTTTTCGCTGTATAAGTCATGTTTTTTTGCATAATTTTCATGCTCTGCGACTTATATGAAAAAGCCATGTATTTATGGATTTGTTCACATATTTATAAACCAATTTTTGACTGAGATATGACTGTTTTCATTCATTCTGACTGAAAATATTGAACACTATCATTTTCAGCCACTAGATGGCAGCCAAGTACTGAGGCATGCTGTTGCATTATGCAATATCCTGATGCTTGCTCATGTAATGTAATAGGTACAAATGGCTATTAATGACACAGTCAGCTTACCATAGACTGCCACCTTTGTCTGCCTGAAGCAACAGAATTAGTTTAATTTCACTGTGCTGCCCCGGCGAAATGAAGCTGATTTGACCATCAAAGTGCATTTATTAAGTAAAAGTTCAACTGAGACACACCTTTGCTATAAAGTCGAGCAAACAAATAATTGTTTTTAGGTGGTTATCTTGTTAAATTTCGAAGAAATGGACAGTGAGCCGCCCTCTGCGTGTTCATGTTTCCATGTATCGGATTTTGAAAATGCAGCTGATTTGACCATCCAAGTGCATTTTTTTTTAAGCAAAAGGTAGACTGAGACACACCTTTACTATAATTTCGAGCAAACAAATAATTGTGTTTAAGTGTTAATCTTGTTAGATTTCGAAGAAATGCACAGAGGCTCTGCGTTCCTACTTCCACATATTGGCTTTTGAAAATGCAGCTGATTTGACCATCAAAGTGCATTTATTAAGTAAAAGTTAAACTGAGTCACACCTTTACTATAATTTCGAGCAAACAAACAATTGTTTTTTAGTGTTAATCTTGTGAAATTCTTGCTAAAGTCCTCCTGTGCATGCTCCCACGACAGCCATTTGGCAGCGAATCGATTTTTGGCACAACACTGGCCCACATGTCTGGGTTCGGCCCACATTTCCAGATTGTCAGCGGTGACGCGAAACAAACACGATGCGTCAGCGGTGACTTATAATAGATGCAACGTATACGGCGAAGCGACGTATTTATGGATTTTTCCACTTTATTAGACATATTTGGACTGATGCGACGTATAGGGCGGTGCGACGTGTACGGCGGAAAATACGGTAATTGGCTTTTTTTGTACTGTATGTGAATGTTTTTATACAGTGCTCTGAGATGACGTCTGTTGTGACTTGGAGCTATAAAAACTGAAATGAATTTTAGTACTGTGTGGCTGAGTGGTTAGAGCAGTCGTCCTCCAATGCAAGAGTTGGGGGTTCGAATCCAACAGCAGTCACATGCTGAAGTGTCCCTGGGCAAGACACTGAACCCCTCATAGCCTCTGATGTGTGTCCATCATGTCTGAATGTGATAAAGCTCTGATTAGTCTCTTTAGAATGATTTGTGCATTTATCTTTGTAGAGATCTAGTATAGAGCTGTATGAATGGGTAAATGAGGACACAGATTGTTGTAAAGCACTTTGAGTATCTTGAAATAAGATAGAAAGGTGCTATATAAGTACAGTCCATTTACCATATATATAAACACTAAATATGCATTATTCACTTTAGTCTAAGGCATAATTTGTAATAAATTAGCAAAATCAGCAGAATCAGGTTTTGTTGCCAATAATTATGAGTCCTTTGTTTACGATCAAACATTGATGAGTACACTTCAGACAGAATCAGAGCATAACAAATATTGAGTCAGTAAAATAATCCCTGGATGTAAACAGAGTCAGGGGGAGAATGAAGGACTCAGAGACAGCAGGTCAAAAGTAAAAAGGTAAAATTCTTCCCTCCTCTTCTGAAACATTGATTAGACGCTGTAAGGACAAGAGTCGACAGTGGAGAGTGTCATGCAAAAGTTGGAGCTAGGATCATGTGTAAATGTAATATGCCGAGATGCTCTGAACTCTAACAGGAGAATTTTGGTAAATAATCTTAAACAGTCACTGAATTTATTGAAGTCTGTAAATAAAAGGAATGAATTTTCGCTGCTTTCTAATTCAATTCAATTCAATTCAATTCAAAAATGCTTTATTAATCCCAAAGGGAAATTATTTGTTGTAGTAACTCGTTATCCTCATTTCATTAAGAGATGTTATAGATGCTGATGGCTGTAGGCAGGAAGAATCTCTTGTAAAGGTCCATCCCACAGTGGATCCTAACAAACTGGCTGCAGATGTCGTCCGATCCGTCCACCCAGACTCGGTTGGCCTCTCGGTTCACCCGGGCTGTAGGACCGCCTGAATGCCGGGCAGAACTCCTCCCAGAGCGATGACCACTCCTCCCAGCAGTCTGCCGAGCTCCTCATAGCTGTGGACAGCAAACTGTAGGTGCTGAGGGACGATCCTGTCATGAGCCGTGTTTCCTGCTAGTTGCAGGATCTCAGTAGTCAGGCACTCAAGCACAGCTGGCAGGTAGATGACAATGCGTCCACATAACATCCTTTTCAACTCATTTGAGAGTTGGGGCCGTAGTTGAGATATTATTTGAGCTTTTGAGATGTTAATCAGCTGCTGTTGTTGTAAAAACCTCCTTGTTGCTATGGTTACGCATCATAACAAAATGTCCAAAACTAAAAAAGTTTCAGTAAAAATTCTTCCAGCTGCACAGCATCTGATACCAGAGGAAACAATCATCCAAAAAAATGTGATTTACATCCAGAAAACCAGGAATTAAAGTTTCCAAAAGCAAAACCTCAGAATGAATGTAACAGAGCTGCTCCAACATGCAGCCACCTTGAGCGGCGCAATTCTAGAACTAATGCAGTTTTTACAAAAAAAAAAAAAAAAACCTGATGAGTATAAATTGCATTAAACCCCAATCATTTAATGATGTAAAATTATAAACATTCAAATCAAAAACACTGATCAATATTATCTTGTGTTATGACAGCTATCATAGCTTTAGAGAAGTACCGTATACTGCACTACCATGAAGACAGAAACATCTTCTATAGTAAATTAGGTGTCAGTCATCTACAGAGCAACATGTGGTCAAAGTAATTCACAATGCAAAATGAAAAGGTATATGCTCACATACTTTCCTCACTGAGCATGCAGTCACAGAGCAACAGCTCTGTGAAGACGGTGTCTTGCTGTAAGGCCCTGGCCAGAGCAGAGCAGGTATCTGCGGACAGACTCTGTCCACTCAGGTCCAGTCTGGAGCTGTGAGTTGTCCTGCTCTCCTGAAGCTGAATCACAACGCTCTCTTGAGGCTCCACACCTCCGTCTTTACAGAGCCGCAGGTACGTCTGCCTGAAATTCTCCATCATGGGACAGCAGAATCCCTATGATGGGCCTGGTCAAAGGATTTTCCTTGCAACTAAAACATATAATGAATAAAAAAAGCACAAAGTAAAATTGAACTGTTTTTTTTTTATGCTGAACACCTTATTTATATACAAACCAGATTCCAAAAAAGTTGGGACACTAAACAAATTGTGAATAAAAACTGAATGCAATGATGTGGAGATGGCAAATGTCAATATTTTATTCATAATATAACATAGATGACAGATCAAAAGTTTAATCTGAGTAAATGTAACATTTTAAAGGAAAAATATGTTGATTCAAAATTTCACAGTGTCAACAAATCCCAAAAAAGTTGGGACAAGTAGCAATAAGTGTCTGGAAAAAGGAAATTGAGCATATAACAAACAGCTGGAAGACCAATTAACACTAATTAGGTCAATTGACAACATGATTAGGTATAAAAAGAGCTTCTCAGAGTGTCAGTGTCTCTCAGAAGCCAAGATGGTAAGAGAATCACCAATTCCACCATTGTTGTGCAGAAAGATAGTGCAGCAATACCAGAATGGTGTTACCCAGCGTAAAATAGCAAAGACTTTTAAGTTATCATCATCAACCGTGCATAACATCATCAAAAGATTCAGAGAATCTGGAACAATCGCTGTGCGTAAGGTTCAAGGCCGTAAAACTCTACTGGATGCTCGTGATCTCCGGGCCCTTAAACGTCACTGCACCTCAAACAGGAATGCCACTGTCAAGGAAATAACAGAATGGGCTCAGGAATACTTCCAGAAAGCATTGTCAGTGAACACAAGCCACCGTGCCATCCGCCGTTGCCAGCTGAAACTCTACAGTGCAAAGAGGAAGCCATTTCTAAGCAAGCTCAGACGTTTGCACTGGGCCAGGGGTCATTTAAAATGGAGTGTGGCAAAATGGAAGACTGTTCTGTGGTCAGATGAGTCACGGTTTGAAGTTCTTTATGGAACACTGGGACGCCATGTCATCTGGACCAGAGAGGACAAGGATAGCCCAAGTTGTTATCAACGCTCCGTTCAGAAGCCTGCATCACTGATGGTATAGGGTTGCATGAGCGCTTGTGACATGGGCAGCTTGCATGTCTGGAAAGGCACCATTAATGCAGAGAACAATGTTCAGGTTCTAGAACAACATATGCTCCCATCTAGACGTCATCTCTTTCAGGGAAGACCCTGCATTTTTCAACACGATAATGCCAGACCACATTCTGCAGCAATCACAACATCATGGCTACGTAGGAGAAGGATCCGGGTACTGAAATGGCCAGCCTGCAGTCCAGATCTTTCACCTATAGAGAACATTTGGCGCATCATAAAGAGGAAGGTGCGACAAAGAAGGCCCAAGACGATTGAACAGTTAGAGGCCTGTATTAGACATGAATGGGAGAGCATTCCTATTTCTAAACTTGAGAAACTGGTCTCCTCTGTCCCCAGACGTCTGTTGAGTGTTGTAAGAAGAAGGGGGGATGCCACACAGTGGTAAAAATGGACTTGTCCCAA